GAGGCACCTGTATGTTATGCCCTGGGGCTGGGGGCAGCAGCAGGCAGACTACCTGTCCACTCCTGGGTGGATCAGAGTCCCCCATACGTGAGAGGTCTGCCCCTTCTGACCACAAGATTCCCACAGGTGGTCAGTCACCTTAGTCAGTCTGGAAACCCACTTGGCACTACAGCCAGGAGCATTCGGTCCTGTAGGGGCCCTGCAGGCAGACGGAGGGACTGGCATGGGCACTGCAGGCTGTGGCACACATGGCTGCAGGACAGAAAGTAGGTGTTCTTGGTGAGCTTTTGCCCAAATCGGTGAGTCCACCCATGAAAGCAAAGGAAGCTGCGGTCCAGCCAGTGCTCCAAGAGGGGTTTGGACCGAGGGCAGCAGAGGGGATGGGCAGCCACGCCCCCCAGCAGTCCTGGAAGCAGCCCCAGACAGTGGCGAGGAACAGGGCTGTTGCTATGGCCTGTGCCCTTCCTGCCTTAGCTGTGAGTCCATGAGGCAGCAGTCTCAACTGGGCCCTGCCAGCCACACCCCTGCCCAGCCCGCAGGCCTGTGCTGGCCAGGCCTCTGCTGAGTCGGCACTTCCTGGGACCGGACTTTCCCCGCCGATCTATAATTTCTCAGAAGAGGCCCTGAGAGGCGAGCTAGGGGGCAGTCAGCTCCCCACCAATGGGGGCCTTAGGGGAGTGGGGGCAGGCTCAGAATGGTTGCCAGGAAAGGGTCCTGCTTAGGCCCTGCCTCTCCTGCCCGGGCATCAGGTGGGCCGTGAAGGCTTTGAGCAGCCCCTGGTCCTGGCTCCTTGCACCTGTCCAGTACCTCCTTCCTTTGCCCTGGGCCCGACACCGTTTCCAGCCCTTTCACCACAGCTGACACAGCAAGGTGGGCAGGAAGGACCCCCTGGCAACACGACTGGAGTGAGGGAGGTAGTGTCCACGTGGGTGGCCCTGGGCCAATGTTGGCCCTGGCATGTCCCAGGCGAGCAGGTGGCAGCAGTGAGCAGGGGTGGCTGGGCCCAGTCCCTGGCTCTGAGGCCGGAGCAAACAGGGTTGTGTTCTTAGAAGAGGCGTGGGCATCTCCAGGCCAGACAGCGTGACCTAGGGGTCACCGGAAGGCCAGGGCTGGGCTCTAAGCGACTGCTTGGGTGATGGTGGGGATGGGGGACATCACTCAGCCGTTAGGAAATTGGGGCAAGGGGGAGTGGTGTCTGGTGGTATGGGCCGACACCCATGAGACCTCCAATATAACGTGTGTGAGGCTGGGGCACAAGTCGTTCCCCCTGCCCGCCCCCCCACCCCCAAGACCCTGACTTCAGGTGGGGCCTGTCCAGCCTGGGCCTTCTCTCCCAGATCCCAAACCCATCACCAATTCCCTGCCCCCAAGGTGCTCTGAAGGCCCCACCCCACCTTTCCCTGGTCCCAGTCACGCAGGAGCAGAGGGCAGGGACTGGTCACATGCCCTGAGAGCCTGCCCTGTCCCCCTGTGGCTGGCGGCCGTGGCGGCTTGGGCAGGCCTTCTCCAGCAGCTCCAGCTGGCTGCCCGGCACGATGGGGTTAAGGGGCCGGACGGCTGTCTGTCAGGGTGCTGGCCAGCCTGTCCAGAGAGCAGGCACCGCCGGCCCCAGCAGACGCACAGCTACCTGCCCGCCCGCCGCCAGCCTCCGTGGAACTCGGCCATGGCCCTGAGCAAAGGTGAGGCTGCCGGCCGGGCAGTCCTGCGGGGCCCTTTAGGGGGGCGGCTGCGTTTAGGTCCTCATAATGAACTTGCTGGGCCCCTAACCAAAACCCACCCAGAGGTGCTGTGGAAGAAAGGCCTGGCCCCTCTTGTATGGTTCTAGCCTGGCACCTGGGCCCCCCTGAGGTGGGACAGCTTGATGGCTGGCCCAAGCTTCACCTTCCCCTCCCACCCTGAGGATCCGGGAGCCAGGTAAGGCTGGACTCAGCTCTGGCCCCCAGGGCCCCGTTCTGCTGCTCTGAAGCCGAGCAGCAGCGGGGAACGGGGGACAGGGGACAGAGACAGGCAGGGCCACTGCTGGATGACCAGAGCCTCCACATGCAGAACAAGTCCCCATTTCGGGCTTCATCCTTCATCTACCTGGCTACGGAGGTGAGAGGTAGTAATGGCACCCTGGCCTGCTCTTGAGTCTCCTGGCAATGGCCACAGATCTGTGTACCTGCCTCCATTGGTGGGACACACACAGCCCCATGGCTGGCATCGCTGCCAGAGTCCAGGCTGCCCAGTGTGCTGAGGCCCTCTCAGTCCACCCCAGCCTGGGGGACAGCTGGGCAGGGAGTGGGGCAAGGCCGGGTCCCAGGGCTCCGGAGTCCCAGTTCGGCTCTGCCTTCCTTTGCCACAGGAGGCCAGGCCCTGGTGCTGCTGCTGGTGAGCTGGGCGTCCATCTGTCGCGTGCACCCAGAGGGCACAGAGCCCAACCCGCTACCGGGAGACGCCGAGAGCCCCAATTGCCCGGCCGTGTGCACCTGCAGCTACGAGGACTACTCGGATGAGCTCAGTGTCTTCTGCAGTGCCCGCAACCTCACGCAGCCGCCGGCTGGCGTCCCCGAGGAGACCCGTGCCTTGTGGCTGGACTGCAACCACCTGGGCCACATCCCAGCGGCCGCCTTCCAGAACCTCTCCGGTCTGGACTTCCTCAACCTACAGGGCAGCCAGGTGGGTAGCCTGGAGCCGGGGGCGCTCCTGGGCCTGGGTGCACTCTACCACCTGCACCTGGAGCAGAACCAGCTGCGCAGCCTGGCGGCTGGCACCTTCGCACACACGCCGGGCCTGGCCTCGCTCAGCCTGCACCACAACCAGCTCAGCCGCCTGGACGGCGGCCTCTTCTCGGGCCTGCCGCACCTCTGGACCCTCAACCTGGGCTGGAACAGCCTGGCCGTGCTGCCCGACACTGCCTTCCAGGGCCTGGGTGGCCTGCGGGAGCTGGTGCTGGCCGGCAATCGGCTGAGCTACCTACAGCCGCCGCTCTTCAGCGGCCTGGAGGAGCTGCAGGAGCTGGACGCCAGCCGCAACGCGCTGCGCAGCCTCAAGGCTGGCGTCCTGGGCAAGCTGCCCAGGCTGCAAAAGCTGTACCTGCACCACAACCTGGTAGCCAGCGTGGCACCCGGTGCCTTCCTAGGCCTGCGGGCCCTGCGCTGGCTGGACCTGTCGCACAACCGCGTAGCCAGCCTCTTTGCGGACACCTTTCCGGGCTTGCTGGGCCTGCGCGTGCTGCGGCTCGCCCACAACGTGCTGACTGGCCTGCGGCCTCGCACCTTCAAGGACTTGCACTTCCTGGAGGAGCTGCGGCTGGGCCACAACCGGATCCGGCAGCTGGCCGAGCGCACCTTCGAGGGCCTGGGCCAGCTGGAGGTGCTGACGCTTGACCACAACCAGCTGCAGGAGCTGCGGCCCGGGGTCTTCCTGGGCCTGGCCAATGTGGCCGTCATGAATCTCTCAGGCAACTGCCTGCGGGGCCTGCCCGAGCAGGTCTTCCGTGGCCTTGGCCGCCTGCACAGTCTGCACCTGGAGGGCAGCTGCCTGGGCCGCGTGCAAGCCCACACCTTCTCGGGGCTGCCGGGCCTGCGCCGCCTCTTCCTGCGAGACAACGCCATCACGGCCATGGACGAGCGAAGCCTGCAGGGGCTGCCCGAGCTGCTGGAGCTGGACCTCACCGCTAACCGCCTGGCGCAGCTGCCCCGCCAGCTCTTCCAGGGCCTGGCCAGGCTAGAGTACCTGCTGCTGGCCCATAACCGCCTGGCAGCGCTGGCCCCCGACATGCTGCTCCCGCTGCAGCACGTCTTCTGGCTGGACCTGGCACACAACCGCCTGGAGAGCCTGGCCGAGGGCCTCCTGGCACCGCTGAGCCGGCTGCGCCACCTCAGCCTGCACAACAACTCGCTGCGCGCCCTCGTGCCGCAACCCCCTGGCCTGGAGCGCCTGTGGCTGCAGGACAACCCCTGGGACTGTGGCTGTGCACTGCGGGCGCTGTGGGCCTTCGCCCGGAGGAACCCCCGCGCTGTGCCCCGCGCCGTGCAGGCGGCTCCCGAGGGCGACGACCGGCAGGTGCCCGTGTTCACCTACAACAACATCACCTGTGTGGGGCCACCCACGGTGGCCGGCCTCGACATGCGTGACCTCGGCGAAGCCCACTTTGCTCACTGCTGACCACGGGCGGACCCTTGGGGCCGGGGAGCCCCGGCAGGGTGCCACTGTCCTCTGGGGCCGCATGGACACTGGCCTGCCTGTCCCCAGGGCCAGACCTGATGTTTACGTAGCGTGACCACATGCCCACTGAAGCTGCCAGCAATTAAAGTAATCTGACAGACACAGCCGGCGTGAAATCCGCAAGGCCAGACTCAGGCCAAGCTGCCAGGGCACTGCTGGGGTCCTGCCTTCACCACAGTCCCTGCTCCTCCTCGCCCCTTTCCAACCCTCCCCGGGCAATCTCCTGGGAGGACCCTTGGCCTTGGGAAACCTGAGTTACAACTGGATGCCACTTCTGCAACTCCCTCTGCTCTGCACCCCCAGCCTGGCCCCGCCTCCCACTGCCCACCCCAGCCTGGCCCCGCCTCCCACTGCCCACCCCAGCCTGGCCCTGCCTCCCACTGCCCATTCCAGCCTGGTCCTGGCTCTCCCTCACTCTTACCCAACACTACCACATCACCCCAAGGCCATTCTTCGCCCCGGTCCCCGAAACTTAAGCACATTCTCACTTGGGGCCTGCAGGACCCAGATCCCTGCTGAGGCAGGGAGACAGGCAGGCAGAGATCAGCCATCGTACGAGGAGACCAGTGCTCGTTTAATGTGGCACCATACACACTACACAAACGTGCTCCCAGGACTAACAGTGACCCCCAACACAGGCCCATAGGAAGGTCTCGGTAGGAGCCCCCGGCCTTTGAGGGTCGCCTACAGCTCCAGCACAGATCAGGGAGGAAGGTGTTGGGCAGTTCCCTGCTGGGCGGGCTCAGCTCTGGCAGGATGCAGCTATTAACTGGGTGGGAAGCCCTGGAGGGGTAAGCACCTCAACCAGGACCTGGGGCCTGTGCCGCATCCAGAATCTTCCGGGCTATGGCGGCCAGCGCAGGGTAGGCGGGGCTCCCAGGAAAGTCTCGCATGAAGTCCCCGCCCTCCTCCAGGCTCCTGGCCAGCTGGGGGTCCAGGGGCACGGAGCCTGTGGAGACCAAGACCAGGAAGCAGGGGGAGGGTGAGCAGGGTGCCCCACTGTCCCTACCGTGGGCCCCACAGGCTGGGCATAGGAAGGCCCTCTCCATCTATCCCCAGAGTGTCTCCGCTCTCACCGAGGAAGGGCACCCCGGCGTGCCTGGCCAGCTCTTCGCCACCTCCCGTAGAAAAGACATTGGTACACTCCTAGGCCACAAGAGCAGGTGTGAGCGCAGACCCCCCCACTGCCCCCCACCCTCCTCCCCACCAGCAGGGGTCTCACTGAGCAGTGTGGGCAGGCGAATCCACTCATGTTCTCCACCACACCGACCACCCGCAGCCCCGTCTTCCGGCAGAAGGTCAGCTCTCGCCGGACATCTCCGACTGCTACCGCCTGGGGCAGGACAGCAGGGGCTCAGCACACAGGGCCCCTAGGGAGGGAGACACCCCCCCCCCACCCCCGCAGGCCGGCTCCACAGAGGCCAGGCCTCACCTGAGGTGTGGTCACCAGGAGGGCGCCCAGGGGCTGGTGGGAGCGCAGGGCCTCCACAACCGACAGGTGCTCATCCGAGGTGCCTGGGGGCGTGTCCACTACCAGGAAGTCCAGCTCCCCCCACGCCACGTCAGACACAAACTGCTGGATCAGCGCTGGAGGGCGCCAGACCACAGAGTTTCAGGGGGCTTGGCCAGTGCAGCCTCCAGCCGGACTACAGAGGGTCTCAAGCACACTGCCCGCCTCCCACCCCAGCTGACGGCTGCACCCTGCCAGATCTGAGGCTGCGATGCACCGGGGGAAGGGCCTGCTCCTTGCCTCGAGGCCAGCCCACCTCCTCCTCACGCCACCGCGCGCGTGCGCGCGGTCTCCATCCGGTTACCATTTTTCTTAGGGCCCCTCCACACCAGGGCCTCGTCCGGCTTCTCCAGCAGGAAGCCCACAGACATGAGGGCCACGCTCTGCTCCTGGTCCATGTACACGGGCACCCAGCCACTGTCGCATTGGTGCACGGCGCTGCCCTGCGCCCCGAGCATGCGCGGCACACTGGGCCCACACAGGTCCACGTCCAGGACTCCCACCTGCAGGCAGCTCAGGTCAGTAAGTCCCTCCATGGGGGCTGGGCGGGGTACCGCTGCCGCCGGGACACAGCACTCACCTTCTTGCCCTCATGGCGCAGGGCCAGCGCCAGCTGGGCGCAGAGGGTGCTCTTCCCGACGCCCCCCTTCCCCGAGAGCACAAGCAGGATGTGCCGCACACCGGACAGGTTCCCGGGAGCTGGCGGGACAGGAGCTGTGGGCACAGGGACCCAGCAGGCACCTCTCCCACTTATGGGCCGGGGGCTGCAAGTCCAGGGCAGACGGGGAGTTGTCTGGGACCGGGGACCACCGCAGAGCGCTGGCATATATGTGGAGCCCGTGCCCACACTCTAGCAGATGGAGATCAGAATGTCATCTTCCCAGAAAGGGGCCCGCATAGGAGTGGGTCTGGGTCTGAGGACCATCCTCCTTGTGGGTCAGTGCTGCGAGGCCCCAGGCTGATTTCGGGGCTCCCATAGGGGGAGAGGAAGACTGGCATCTCAGACCCAGGGTAGGCACAGGCCTGTACCTGGCAGCACACCCCCACTGTGCAGTTTGCTCGGCTGACACTGTTGTCTTCTGTGTGGCAACTCCCAGGCCACCCCTGAGACTTCCAGTAAGGGTGTGGCTACAGCAGCACGGAGGCCCTAGGCTATGCCCTACAAAGCCCCTGACAACGTTCTCTCCTTCCTGCCACTGAAAACAAACGCTCCTGGGCCTCCTCACTCTGACCACTCCCTCCTGCCAGCAGGTCTCCCTCCCAAGGGTCGCTGCCCAGAACTCGACGGTGTAACATTCCCCCAGAAATACTAGCAAGGCGTGACCTGGCCCTCCTGGCAAAACCCCCCAAAAACTTTACGGAGGATGGGATGACAAGCATATTATGCGGGCGACACCTGCCCCAACGAGTGACTTAAAACTATGCGACCTGAGACAGGTATGGGAGGCCAAGGTGCAGAGGTGAGGGAGGGGGACGATCGGATGGGCTCTAGCTCCTTCAGCGGCCACCTGTGCTAACAGGGGCCTGATGGCGCCTGGGAAAAAGCAGGGACGGCAACAGAGGGCACCTGCGCGGGGTCAGGTGCTGCAAGGGGCGGCGCGCTTCTCAGAGACCCTGAACTCCAGCGGCCACTCCCCTTAACTCTTAAAGGAACTTCAGCCGGCGACCCACGCGCAGCGCCTGCGCCGGCGGGGCCTCCGCACTGGCCGGGGGAAGAACAGGGCCCCTCGGGCATGTCGCGCCCAGGTCGGCTCCGAGCACTTCGGGGGGCTGGTGTAAAATGTGCGCTCTCTATTGCGGGTAGGGGTGGAGGTGGGGGTAGGGTCCCGGGCATACAGGCACCGGCCTTGCTTCGGGAACCGGGGGCCGGCCGTTTCGTAAACTGTGCACCCAAACTCAGGCCGGCCTCTGTTTTCGCATTATATGCAGCCCCCGCCCCCGGATTAAGTAAAAAAGACACCCCAAACGTCTCGCTTATTCGGACCATCGGGGGCCCCCTCATTTCTCCAGCTTCCCTCGTGTGCACATCAGTGGTCACGGGTCCAACGCGCACCCCCTGGCTGGGAGCGTCCTGCTACTGCCCCAGGCACCTACACCTCCCATCCCGTGCCGCGGGGGGAACGGCAAGGCCGGGCCTGGGCTCCCGCTCCGGTCCCTGCGCCCCGGACACTCACACGCCGCGGGCTCCATCGCGTCTGCCGTACTTCGCGGCTTCCGTCTACAGCCTCCTGCGAACGGCCCGCCCCGCAGCCAGAGGGATGAGCCCCCGGGCCAGTCAGCAGCGCGAGCCCGCCTCCTGGCTCCCCCCATAGGCTCACCGACACAGCCCCTGGCCAATCAGTCCGCCCGAGCCGGGCCCCGGCTTCCGGCGCTGGTTGACGTCAGGAGTGGAACCTACTTCCTGGACAACGCCCCAATTTGAGACGGCCTCCCGCCCGCGACTTGTCCAATGGGCGCGCGCGCCGCCTCACCGCCGAAGTCAGGCATGACCAATAGAGAAGGCGTGTTCGGACTGACGGGCGCGGCAACCTGTCGACGGGAGGCAGGGCCCACGAGCACCGCCCTCCGGCCGGAGCCCCAGGAACACCCGCCCCCGGCGGCCGGGCCAATGCGGCGCGGGGCGGGGATTGTTGACGTCTCGCCTGAGCGGAAAGTAGGTCACGGCCGGCGGGGAGCGCGGCGGCGGCGGAGCAGCTCCAGGTGAGCGCCGCGACGCGGCCGGGCCACGGCGGGCGGCGCGCTGACCGCGCACACGAGTCCGGCCTTTGTTTCCCGGCGCCCCGAGTGGGCCGCGCTTTGTCCTCGGCGGCCGGTGGGCCGCGCTCCCCGGAGCCTGTGGTTCAGCGCCGGGTTGCCTCCAGATGCCACCTTACCGCGCCTGGAGGGGCAGCTTCCGGAAACAGCACCCCAAAGCTGAGCTCGGGATGAGCCCGGGGACCCGAGAAACGCCATCCCGGCTTTGTCAGCGGCCCTCCCCCGCCGCGGGTCATTCATTTAGCCTGGGCCACGCGGACCTCCCCTTGGAAGCTTGGTCCAGGGCGGGGTCTGGCTGACCATCCCGGGCCGGCGGCACATTCTTTCAACCACGCGCACCTCTGGGTCAGGCGGGCGAGCATCGCGGGCAGAGCACCACGCGTGGGTCGAAGTGACCACAGAGGTTGAGTAGGACCCACCGGTTGTGAGTGCAGCCGGGAGAGGGAAGGACAGGGCAGGGCAGCTGCTGACCCCGACCGAAGCAAGGGCAGGACTGTGGCCCCAAGAAACGGAGAGCACAGGCGATTGTGTACAGTTCTGCTTTTATCCCCAAAGCAATGGCCGGGCCTGCAGGAATGATAAGGTTGTTTGAGGCAGAGGTGGAGGGGAAGGACAGGAACTTGGAGAGGTGACGGGTGAGTTGGGGCAGGGATGACTCCCTGGTGTCTGGTATGAGGAAGTGGGTGGTTGGAGATTCCATTTGCCCGAGTGGACATTGGAGGCGGTGCCAGTGGAGGCTGGAGATGCCCGCCAGGTGATGGGTGACCTAGGGTAGGGGAGTTGGAGTTCGGCAGGAGATGGGCCTGGAGGTGCTGTGGAGAGCTGTGCACACCGTCTGCCTGGACTTCATTGATGCACTCAGCTACTGGACTGAGGTGTGGACCCCTCTGTCAGGGTCCCGGAGCCCTGGCTGTGGCATCTCGGGGAGGACAGCTAGGAGCTGGCAGGGGCCAGAGTGGCACCCAGGGGTCTTCCCAGTCACCTAGGCTGTCTGCTGTTTCCTTCCAGGTCCTCTCCACCATGGCCAGGCGGCCCCGGAGCAGCCGGGCATGGCATTTTGTCCTGAGCGCAGCCCGTCGAGACGCTGATGCCCGGGCTGTGGCTCTGGCTGGCACTGCTAACTGGGGCTATGACTCTGATGGGCAAGTAGGTTCTTGTGGGGAGTGGGCATCTCGGGTTGGGAGGTGGAGGGTGCCCGAGTGGGTGGTTTTTCTTGTTATCATCCCACTCGCACTCCTTGTGAACTGCCTGCCCAGGTGTCTCCTTGGCCTGTTCAGATGGAGGTACTGAATTCCGTGCATGCTGAGAGCTTTGGTTCTGGGTGATCAGGACAGCTCACGGAGGTGGCCTGGGAGATGTTTGTGTCCTGGCTCAGGTTGTCTGCCCCCAGCCAAGGCAGGCTGGTGGAGGGGCGGGCCCACTGGGACTTGGGGGCTCTCAGTTGGTTTCTTGCTGACAGGCGCCAGACGCCTGTCACCCGGGTGTCTAGGTGACCTGGGCTGAGAGAGCAGGCTTGGATCAGTGGCCTGGGGCCTGGCCACCCTACATTCCTGCCCTGCCCCCACCGTTGTCGTAGGTGACACTCAGCTCTGTGGGATGCAGGATGTGACACCGACACACAGGTGTGTTTTGCTGCCCGCCTGTGGGCGGGTCTTTGGAGGCTGACGTTTACATGTGCCGGGCAGAGGCCACAGTGGGGACTGTGGCCCCAGGGCTGCTTGCTCTGTCCAGATGGGCCCTGTTCTGAAACTATTCTAGAAACAGGTCAGGCCGGCTGTGACACCTTCTATGAATTCTTCTTTCCTCCCACCGGTCTCCCTGTGGCTCCGGGTCCGTTTGTTTACATCTGTCCGTGAGGGGCTGGAGACCGCTCTATCTCTGTCCTCGTCTACTTAGTTGCTGTGTGGCTGTGGGGGGTCAGGTGACAAACAGTGGGGCTTCAGAAACACGAGGACATGGAGCTGGGAACGGTGTCCTAGGGCTGGGCCACGGCAAAAGAAAGCTTGTGAAGGTTGGCGGACTCCGTGGGGGGTGTCTGCCCTCAGGGGTAGCAGGAGCAGGGTGGAATCTGGGCTACCGTGGGCTGGCACAGTGTCAAGTGGCTCGTCTGGGCAGCTGCAAACTTGAGGCCTGTGTAGTGGGCAGTCTACACGCAAAACCGCATCCCAACACCCCTGCCCCCATCCTCCCAGGCCCACAGTGGAGCTTTTGTGGTGGCAGAGTAGGGAGACAGAACGAGGACACTTCGGGCAGGCCGGCGGGGCCCCAGGGCTAAGGGACCAATGGATTGATGGCCCTGGCCCGTCTTCCTTTCCAGCACAGTGACTCGGACTCAGACCCCGAGTTCGCTTCCCTGCCGCTGCCCATCCCCAGCGCCGTGCCTGTGACTGGGGAGTCCTACTGCGACTGCGACGGCCAGAGTGAGGCTGCCTTCTGTGGCAGCCTGCACAGCACCCACCGTGCCAAGGACTGTCGCTGCGGGGAGGAGGACGAGCGTGAGCGCCGGGTGGGCGCGCAGGGGGCTGGGGGTGGGGGGTGCAGGGATGCCCAACCTCACCGTGCCCTCGCCCTGCAGACTTTGACTGGGTCTGGGATGACCTGAACAGGTCCTCCGCCACCCTCCTGAGCTGCGACAGCCGCAAGGTCAGCTTCCACGCGGAGTACAGCTGTGGGACAGCAGCCATCCGGGGCACCAAGGAGCTGGGCGAGGGCCAGCACTTCTGGGAGATCAAGATGACCTCTCCCGTGTACGGCACGGACATGGTGAGTGGCTGGCCGGTGGGGGAAAGCATGGGGGTCTTCTCCAGGCCCGGCCCCACGCACCCCCTGCTGGCCTTTTTCAGATGGTGGGCATCGGGACGTCAGACGTGGAGCTGGACAAGCACCAGCACAGCTTCTGCAGCCTGCTGGGCAGAGACGAGGACAGCTGGGGCCTCTCGTACACGGGTGCGTGGGGACACAGGCTGGGGGAAGTGGTGGGCTTTGGGAGCAGTTGCAGGACTCGGTGCTGACGCCTTGCCCACCCCAGGGCTCTTGCATCACCGAGGGGACAAGAGGAGTTTCTCATCTCGCTTTGGCCAGGGCTCCATCATCGGTGTGCACCTGGACGCCTGGCATGGGCGGCTCACCTTCTTCAAGAACCGCAAGTGCATTGGTGAGGTGGGGGATGGGGGGGGATGGGGGCCGGCGGGCGACACCAGGCTGGGCTGAGCTGAGCCTCCCCACAGGTGTGGCGGCCACCAGGCTGCAGAACAGGAAGTTCTACCCGATGGTGTGCTCCACGGCCGCCAAGAGCAGCATGAAGCTCATCCGTTCCTGCGCCAGTGCCACCTCCCTGCAGTTCCTGTGCTGCTACCGCCTGCGCCAGCTGCGGCCCAGCTCGGGGGACACATTGGAGGGCCTGCCCCTGCCGCCTGGCCTCAAGCAGGTGCTGCGCCACCAGCTGGGCTGGGTGCTGAGCATGAGCTGCAGCCGCCACAGGCCACCCCCGCCCGAAGCCAGGCCCTGCCGGCGGAAGCGCTGTCACCGGACCTGAGTGCTGCTCAGTGAGACTGCTCTCAGCCAGGACCTGCGACAGCCCCTCCTTCAGCCCAGCCACGTGGCAGGAGGGGGAAGGGGCAGGAATGGGGGGGTCGTCCAATCCTCCTCTGCTGGGTCATGGGCTTGGTGAGTCCACTCCACTGGCCCGGGGTCGGCTGCCCGTTTGCGTGCAGGAGAGGGCCTGGGGCCCGCAGGCCTCCCTGCTGCCTGGACACTGGGGCCGGGGTCTGGCCCTTCTGCTGCTTTGCATGTGGCTGGCTGCTGCCCCTCCTCCTCAGAGACTTAACGCTGCAATAAACAGGTGGTTTCTATTTGAGGGCCCCACAGCTGTGCCTCTCGGCAGGGCCAGGGGGGGCCTTCTCGGGCTCAGGGATGGCGGTGGTGGCAGTCCTGTGCGGTCAGGTTGTCTGAGGCCCCTCCTCTCTCTGCACTGTGGCACCTACTGGAAGCATCGCCCCAGTACCACAACCCCAGCAGCCTCCCCACACACCTCCTTGCAGCCCAAACCTGGTTCCCTGGAGCCAGGTTAGGCAAGGCCAAAGCCAGAGCCTTCAGCTGGCCGAGCTCCCCTGGTCCCCAATGATCCTTACTCCAAGTGCTGTGCACTGCCCAGGCAAGGGCGCTTAGGAGCCCAGGTCCAGCAGGAGGTCAGGGTTGGACGTGGTCAGGAAGAGGCAGAGGCGTCTGGAGAGGTCGGGCCCCAGCCTTCGGGGCCGCCCATCCTGGCCCTGCTCCACAGGGAGGTCCGCCAGTAGGGCCAGCCGTTCCTGGTCTGAGCTGCAGGCCGCATATGCCTAGGGTGGGGATGCAGGTGAGTGGGGCAGGGGCAAGGATCTCCATCTGGGTGTCAGGGTTGGGGTGCCTCACCTGCTGCAGGAGGCGGGGGGAGGGGAAAGCAGTGGCGACAGCATTGGCCACTGTGGGGCTAACTCTGTTGAACTGCTGAATCTGCCGACACCAGGTCCCCCGCAGCCCCTGGCCATCTCTAGCGACCCGTTCACCAGCAGCCCAGCGCCCGGCCGTGCAGAAGGAAAAGGCTTGGGCCTCCCGGAGTTGCCTGTGGGGACAGCGCGGGTAGCCTTCCAGGGGCTGATCCCACAGCTGGCCATCCTGCCTCGCAGCCCTGCGGGGCTCCATCTGGGAGACACTTACTTGTAGGGGCGCTGGGCAAGAGCCCTGGTGAGGGCGCACACATGTTCACTTAGCTCCTGCCAGGTGGCTGCCAATAGCACGTCCAGGCCTGCCCAGAGCTGCAGGAGCACCAGAGCCTGTGGGCAATGACAGGCAACAGCCCCTCAGAGGGGAGGGGGGATCCAGGGGTCACTGCAGACTAAGTGTGGGTGCCACCCTGGATCTCCAGCCCGCCCTCACCTCCTCCACCTGAGGCCAGCCAACAGTCCATTCAGCACGGGGCCCTGCTGGTCTCTCTGGTGACCACTGCTCCCCCTGGACACTGCGAGCATAAGACCTGGACAAAGGGATAAGCTTCAGCTTCCACCCTCCTGGGCCACCCTCCCAGGGTGTCCTCCCAGCCAGCCCTAGAGGAGGGAGGGGTCAGGTATTGTACCACAGGTGGGCCTCCAGCCCTACAACAGCCAGGTGGGGGTGAGCGGAGCTCTGGGGACACATCCAGGGTATTGTGCAGGTTGGCTCTGACAGCTGCAAGACCAGATGCAGGCACCTTAGAAGGCTGTCACAGCCTAGCCTACCCAGCAGCTTTTGCCAGGTGCCCGATGTGGTCCAATGAGCACTCTCCTCAGGCCAAAGCCAAGTGGGTGATTGGTCCATCCTGCCCCACAGGCATCCCTGGTCTTGCCTGGCACCTCCACTCTCCTCCCCAGAGCTTGCACTAACTGACCTGTTCTCCAAACCAAGGCCACTGCCCACGAGTCCCAACTGGCAGCAACCCTGTAGGACGGAGAATGCGTCCCAGACTAATGAGATTACAAATCCCTACAGGAGCAGACAGCTGCCTTTTGAATCTGCGTGCCTTGTGGTTAATGGCTACGCTGTGTTTAATTTACTGTGCCAGAGGAGCACCTGGGTCAGCTGGGCGACGCCCTGAAGAAAGTCCTCCGGGTGCACCAACAGTAGCAGTTCCTGCTCGTGCGAAGCCCACACCTCAAGGGGCACCTGTAGGAACATCCCGGGTCATAAAACAACGCCCACCCAGGCCTCCCTGGCCAGCAGGAAATGCACAAGCCGAGCCACTCACACCACCCGGCACAGGTACAGCTACTTTCCAGGGTCCTTGGATGGCACCTGCAGGCATGCACAGACACTCACGCCTCCAGGACAAGGGTCTGGCTTCAGGCGGCTCCAGCTGAGGCTCCGGGCGTGTGGCTGGGGTTCGATGCGGTGGTCACAGCCCAGGGCTTCCAGCGCTTCCAGGAGGACGTCTGAGCCCGTGTCTTCTAGGACAGCTGGGACAGCGCGGGAGGGAGGGAAGCACTCCTGTCACCCGACTCCCAGGCGAGCTGGCTGGGCTGCAGCAGAGCCGCGGGACAGTTGGGAATCCAGCCAGGGGTTGCCTTGGTAACAACCACTGGCCGCCCGGCTCTTCCCACCAGCATTGGACCAGGGCGACCTGAAGGAGGCAGGGTCAAAGAGCCGAAGCTACTACTGTCTAGTCGCTTGCCCTCACGGTGACCAGCTGGACAGAGTAGAACTGCCCGGAGACCTGGAAGCTGACAGCAGCATCTTATTCCCTTAGTGGTGGCTGGTGAGCTCCAACTCAGGCCCTGGCAGCCGAGCGCTGTAATCAGCGTACCACTGGGGGCCCCTGAGGGATGAGGTTAAGGGGAGCCCCGCAAAGCCGAGCTCCAGGAGCGGGGCTGCCCACGCGCACCTGGGTCCACGCGTACCACCAGACGCCGCAGGGCTCGCTCGGGACGCAGCGCCTCGGCTGTCGCTCTGCGCTCCTCCTTCGGCTCCGGGGCCTTAACGGCAGCCACCGAGCGCATAGGACCTTCCGTGTCTGAGTCCGAGATCTCCCACGTCGGGGTCCGCCGCTGGCCCCGACCGCGGCCCCCGCCCCGAGGCCCCGAGCTCCCACCGGCTCTGGCCTTAGCCATGGCGCTCCCCGCCGCGCCTCCACTTCCGGCCTCGCCCGGACGCCTTTGCAGAGGACACCGGCCGCTTCCGGCGGGGGCGGGCCTTCCGGCGCCGGGCGGCCGCGGCACCCGGCCGGAGCGCTCAGGGCACGGACCACAGTGGGAACCCAGCATGGCGCGCAAGAAGGTCCGCCCGCGGCTGATCGCCGAGATGGCCAAGCGCGTTCGGGCCCTGCGGGAGCAGCGGGAGCGGCCGCGTGACTCGCAGCGCTATGCCCTGGACTACGAGACGCTGACGCGGCCGCTGACGGGCCGCCGGCTACCTCTGCGGGCCAGTGCGGACGTGCGCCGCGAGAGCCGCCTGCTGCAGCTCCTCGGCCGCCTGCCGTCCTTCGGCCTCGGCCGCCTGGTCACGCGCAAGTCGTGGCTGTGGCAGCACGATGAACCGTGCTACTGGCGTCTGACGCGCGTCCAACCCGACTATACGGCGCAGGTGCGTGCATCCCTCCACCCCACCCCACTCTCATCGCGACATGGGAGAGGCGTCTACTTAACCTTTGGAGGAGAGTGGGTGACCGGCTGGCTAAGCTGACTCGCTCTCTCCCTGCTTTTCAGAACTTGGACCATGGCAGAGCCTGGGGCGTCCTGACCTTCAAAGGTAAGGGCTGTGGGTGCGGGGCACTTGAACGGCGCGGGTCGCAGGCTTTGGGTTAGAAAGGGTGTAGTGAGCCGCTGGCTCTCTTTCCCCAGGCCAGACGGAAAGCGAGCCCCGGGAGATGGAACAGGTCATGTACCACGACTGGCGGCTGGTGCCCAAGCATGAAGAGGCAGCCTTCACTGCGTTTACGCCCCCCAACAAGGAGCCCCCGCGCTGCGTGCCCTATCCTCCCCTCCTCAGAGCCATGATCCTGGCCGAGCGGCAGAAGCGGGGGGACGCCAGTTCGGAGGAGCCCACGCTTAATCTGGAGAGGGTGCCCGTCAGGCCCTGGGACTACCCCGCCAAACAGGAGAGCAAAGGCAAGGCCAAGGGCACGCCCGTCTAATGTGTCAGGACCGGCCGGCCGCTCAGTCCCCTGAGAGTTGGGATGCGATAACCACATCATAGAGTCTGACTGTCTGTGCCACTTGGTGTTGGGGGGTGGGGGAGGGCGGGGCGGACTGGTTCCCTCCCTCAAGTCTCCTGTGTCTGGATGCCCCTGGACGCTAGTGGACTGGTGGCCAGCATCAGAGTGCCGGAGGGGCTTCCTTCCCTCGTGTGTTCCACGGAGCTAGGCTTGGAAGCGAATAAAGGCCACTGAACTACCACGTGCTGTGCTTTCTGAGTCTCGGGTTTAAGGGTGCCAGACAAGTGGTTTGCAGGGCGGCGGGGAAGGGAGAGCCGACTCTACCGAGGAATAACCGCCCTGGGTGGAGAGGCGCGGGGCCGCGGAGACCCAACCTGTAAGAGGAGGCGGTTCGCGCTGCAGGGAGAGCTCAGCCGGCCCAGAGACTGGAGACCCGGGGCCGGAAGTGACAGTACCGCATCCGTGGAACAGTGGCGGCCCCTTTAAGTCCAGGCCCCGCCCCAGGCACCACCTCCCGCGAGCCCGCGGCAGTCCTCCCTGCCGCCGCCGCCGCCATCATGATCTGCCTGGTGCTGACCATCTTCGCCAACCTCTTCCCAGCGGGTAAGCCGAGGAGGCCTGGAGTGCCTAGAGACCTCGTCCAGGGCAGGTGGGGCCGGACGGGGGGTCTGCGGGCCCTGGGTGCTGGGTGCGGGCCCGGCCAGGCGGGCTGCACCAGACCCAGGGCGGGGATGCGGGTCCGCAGGCTGCACCGGCGTGCACGAGCGCACCTTCGTGGCCGTGAAGCCTGACGGCGTGCAGCGACGACTGGTGGGCGAGATCGTGCGGCGCTTCGAGCGGAAGGGCTTCAAGCTAGTGGCGCTGAAGCTGGTGCAGGTGAGGCCGGGCCGCCAGGGTCGCCCTCAGGGCGAGGTCGGGACAGCAACTGACTGATCGTTCCCGCAGGCCTCTGAGGACTTGCTGCGAGAACACTACACGGACCTGCGCACCCGGCCTTTCTATGGGCGCCTGGTGCACTACATGGGCTCGGGCCCAGTGGTGGCCATGGTGAGTGCAGGGCCGGCGGGGCACCCCGACACGGCCCCTCCCACGCTGACTCTAGCCCTCTGCAGGTGTGGCAAGGGCTGGACGTGGTCCGAGCCTCTCGGGCGCTAATTGGGGCCACCGACCCAGCCGACGCGATGCCTGGGACCATCCGAGGGGATTTCTGCGTGGAGATCGGCAAGTAAGGCATTAGGGATGCGACTGCCCCACTCCTGATTCCCCCTGCAGGAGGTGCGCTCACACCCCGCCTTCCCTGCAGGAACGTGGTTCACGGCAGCGACTCTGTGGAGAGCGCTCGCCGTGAGATAGCGCTTTGGTTCGACACGAAAGAGCTGCTGTGCTGGGAGGACAGCGCGGCGCACTGGCTGTACGAGTAGTGGCTTCTGGGGCGACGCTGGCCTGCCCTTGGGGCCCCTCTGACCCGCTGCTGCACAAATCGGCCAGCATGACCTCGGTGGACATGTCGATGTGCTATAGACAAATGTGTTCCACCCTGTCTGCTAACCCCTTCAGCAGAACCCAGGGACATTCAGGCCACCTGAGGTGGGGGCTCCCCAAACTACTGACCACAACTTCCTACTGCTTCCCACCCAGGCGTGGCCCCCCATTTTCCTGTGACAATAAAGGAAGGCAGCTCTGGACGCTGACCTGGCATGGACCAAGACGGGACAGCTTGGAGACGTTTATTACACACGGAACAGGACAGGACTTGGGGTCGCTTGCAGGCCAAAGCCTAAGGGCAATTGACGTGCGCCTTCACCAGGTGCACCACCAGCTCACCCCGTTGCTTCACAACCCTTCAGGGGCAACAAGGGATAGTACATACGTCACAGTGGAGGGAGGAGCCTGCAGTGGCCCCGCTGCCTTGGTGGCCAGCTGGGCGGGGAATGGGCGCACTGATGATGCCTTGTGTAAGGAAGGGGAGAGTGAGGTCTGGGTCGGGGGGCAGCAAGCAAGGCCTGTCCACGGGGGAGGTGGGCTGGGGCCATGCCTACCTCCACACCCACCCACACATACACCTAGCGCCCCGCTGGGTGGCCTCAACCTGAGCCCTGGGCACCTGCCCTGCAGCCCATCTGCTGCCCTCAAGGAGGGCAGGCTGCCCGGCCAACCCTAGGCACTTAGTCACATGTCAAGCTCGGCTCAGCTCCCCCCGCCAGGCAGACCCCCAGCCTGAGACTGGCCTGAGTGCTGCAGAGGGAGCCCTTCTTCCTGAGGCCTGGGAACCTAGGGGCTTGCTGCTGGGAGGGGGGCTGGGGGACGTGCTCAAGCAGGGGAGGGGCCTGCTCTACCTGGAGGCCCGAGGGAGGGGGGCCCTGGGGAAGGCTAGCTGCTGGCTGCAGGCACACCCCCTGCAGCAGGACACTGGACAGGGCCCCCCTCCCCCAGGGCCAAAGGCAAATGGGCTCTGGGGAATACCTGGGAGGGGAGTAGGACCCTGCAGGAACTGCCCACAGCCAGGCCCACGGAGGAACCCCAGCCCTGAGGGGCCCTGGGGCTTGAGGAGGGTGGGCTGGCGCTGGCCAGGAGCTGCTGGAAGGGAACCCGTGCAGCCGCTCCTCATAGGCTGGCCTGCCCAGGGCCCGGAGGTGCGGTGAAAGCTGCAGTTGAGAGGCTGGGGCTGGGCCTGCGTAGCAGGCAGAGGGCAGGAGGTGGCAGCTCACTCGGGGCTGTAGGAGACCTGCCACACGATGATGTGGCTACGCTCAGCTTTCGACAGTATGGGCTTCACCTGGCTCCCGTCCCCACTGCCGTCCTCGGTCTCGTCATCCTCACCATCACCTGCACGGAAGGCCTATGAGTGGGGGAGGGGGAAGCCCTGCCTGGGCCCCTGACTCCACCTCATCACCATCTTCACCTGCCCACTCACCAATGCGGAAGTCGATATAGCCCTCCCCTCCACTCAGCACTAGCACATTCCTCAACTTCTGGCTCTCAGCGGTGTCCGTGCTGGTGGCCGGGGCCCCTGGGCTCTCAGACGGGCTGTCAAGCACGCTGCCGTTGAGGGTGGCCAACACATTCCCTGGGGGGACAGGGGCTCAGCATGGCCAGGCACTTGATACCACATGCCCAGCAGGGTGGCCCAGGGTGGGGATGAGGCTCAGCATGGCAGGCACTCCACCCACGTGCCCATAAGGCTGGTCCAGCTGCCCCACCTGGCACTGAGACAAAGAACTTGACAGCGTCCCGGTGACCATGGAAACAAAGCTGGGCCTGGGCCATCGAGCAGTATGGGATGAAGCTGCTAGCTGACTTGTCGCTGCTGTCATCACCGTATACGTGGATGACACCCCCAGGGCGGGCACCCTCTCCAGATGTGGGAGATGTCTTGTTGGCTGCAGACAGAGGAGCCCAGAGGGGCTGACTGCGGGCTGGGAGGAGCAGGCTGGGGAGAACCTCCTTGGCCACTGCCCTCCCACTGCTCAACACCATGACTCAGGACTCACCTCGGAGCCCCAGGAGCTGGCCTCGGTGCAGAACTACAGCTGGGAGGTGGGGAAAGAGAGGAGGGGCTGGGCCAGAGGACAAGGCCAGTGCTGGTGTCCCTGTGCATCCCCTGCACAGCCTCCCCTGCCCTCCCAGGGTCTCAGACACTCACTCTCCGTCAGTGGGATGGAGATGACCACTCCGTTGCCTGTGCCCACCCAGAGGCGGTTGCCGGCAATCAGCAGGGCCGTGATGCGCACGAAGGAGAAGCCCAGCTTGCCCGTGCCTGTGGGGGCAGGGGTGTGGGTGAGGGCTGCACCAGGCTGACCTGGCCCCTCTCCACCCTTGGGTCAGTGGTGTCAGCCCTGTACGCCGCCCAGGGAAGTCTGCCCTGCCCTCACCCAGCATCTTGCTGACATAGGGCTCGATGTCCACATCCTGCAGGTGCTGGTGGGTGTGGGCATGGTACAGCCGCAGGGTGGAGTCCAGGCGGATGGAGACCCACACTCCATCGCCAATCCACGCCAGCTGCCGCACCTGGCTCTCCCTCCGCGGGTGGGCATCGAACGACTTCTATGGGGCAGCGCAGCCTCAGTGGGGTGGGGCCCTGGCACTGAACCCCTGGGCTTCAGGGGAGCAGCCCACTGGCTCAGCAGGCACAGACCCGTGACATGCACGCTCAGACTCAGGGCCACTTCTGAGTCCCAGGGTCATTTTCTCCACCGTGAAACTAACTACCAAGTCACAGCATGGGGCGTTCTCAGAGGCCCCCCACCAGCACCAGGCCTGGTGGGGCAGACCAGCACCGGCAGAGACCCCTCCAAGGTCCAGCCCCAACCCAGCAGGCCATGTCCTGCCTGGCCCCACCCCTCCGTGCCCTGCCCTCTCCACATTGGCGGATCCCTCCTGGCTCTGATGCTTGACTGCTCAACTGGTGCCCCCCATACCACCCCATGCTGGCCCTGCCCCTCCCGGCCCTTGGCCCACCCCTCCACGGGCACTCGCCTCGATCTGCATGGTTTTGGGCTGGATGACGTGCACCTTGTTGCGGTAGCCGCACCACACGCGGTCGTCCACCACAGCCATGCAGCGGATGGAGTGGTGTGGGTGACCCAGGTCCATCAGGTGGTAGTTGCTCAGGTCCCACTGGCCATCTGGGGGTGGGACACACTGCTCAGCCTGGCTGAGAGGGATGCGGGGAATAGGGAGGGGACCAGCCTGCCGTGCCAGGCCTCACCTTCGCCTCGGTGGAAGACGGCCAGGGTCCCATCAGCCAGGGCCACCAGCACTCGGCCTTTCACGTGGCTGGAGAGGGAGCAGAGGCCAGGCTTAGATGTTGAGGGGGCAGGAGGGGATGCTGACGGGCCTCCGTACCTCCTTCCCACGCCCGCGCAGCCCCGCCTACACCAGGCTCAGCACGGAGTCCTTCAGCTTGATGGAGTGCAGACACTTCTTCCAATTGGCCACCGCCGAGTGCACATAGAGCCTGGACACAGAGGGGCGCCGGTCAGGGCAGAGCAGGCCTAGCCTGGGTGATGGCCCCCCTCCCAGAAGACCCAGAGTGACCCTACCAGCCGTTTTGGGCTCCCAGCCACATGGTGGGCGCCGCACTGCTGCTGGCCCCAACAGGGTCTGCGCTGGGCTCTGGCTCGGCTCCATTGGCCTCGGCTTCGGGCCCCTTCTCGCTGTAAGAAGGGCCCAGCTTCAGGGTGACCCGGCGACTCCGTCCCCTTTCCTGTCCATCCAGTGGAATGTAGCCCAGCCCACCCCAATGCGTGACCCACCCGGGAAGCACAGCCCCACTCCCTGACGCCATAGTGCACCTGCCAGGCTGAGTACTGGGGGGCGGTGTGGGTGCTGGGTCGGTGAAGACATGCTCTGTGAGGGGCCCGGGCCGTGCTGTGGCTGCTTCAGGCTCGCTGGGTCCTGGCTCTGGTACCTCCGTGGCCTCTGTGGCCTCCTCTGTGGATGGGGCAGGCTGGACCTTGCCATTGCCCACGGCAGCCACCTCCCCTGTGGAAGGGAGGAGTAAGCATGTGTGCGCAGTGCCTGGGGGAGTGCCCTGCGCTCTGGGACTCACCCTGCCCCTTGTCCAGCACTGGCGTGTCCCCTCGGGAGGAGCAGTTGCTGCGGGGCACATTGCAGCGGGTGGCACAGCCCACCAGTGTGATCCCGGCCAGCACCCCATCGGCACCAGGCTCCTCAGGGTTCACGTCACAATCCAGGAAGATCTCGCCAGGTGGATAGTCGCTGTCACTGGCCGCTGGGGAGGGAGGGGTGGGGAGGGGTGAGCAGGCTGTCAGCTCCTGCCCAGGAGCCCTCCTGCTGCGTCTGACAGGCTGGCCCTGCCTCTCCAGAGACTGCGGTCAGAGAAAGCCTCGGCTCCAGGCCCAGCACTCCCTCTGCACCCCGCCCTGACGGGCTCACCGGGGATGCTGGAGATGCACAGCACATGGGCGTTGCAGACGCTGAACTGGTCCACCACGGTGCCTGGCTGGCTGGCATCGATGATCACCACCTTGCTGGTGCTCAGCGTGCTGGTGAGGATCCAGACTCTGCTGGAGGTGGCGTCCATCTCATGCAGCTCCTTTGCCTGCGGGGACCAAGGATGCAGCTGTGCCCCTGCTGGCAAGGCAGCCAGGGCCGGCGGCACAACATAGGGCAAACTGCGATGTCAACTTCAGCTTCTGGCCCCAAGCCAACCGCTGCATGCGGCCCGGCTGCCCCGGGGGGCAGCGCTGGAGCAGGCCGCAGGCCTATGGCACGCCCACCTTCTTCTTCTCTGGAGATGCAAGGCCGTTGGAGCCCTCACCGTCCACCTCACGGTCACAAGTCAGGGGGTCTCGGCCAGGCACCGGCTTGATCCCGTTCCCCGGGTCCTCCTCGCTTGGCCTCCACCCGCTCACGTTGACGCCCGCGGCGCACCACAGCTGGAAGACCAGGGATGAGGTCCACTTCCTGCAGAGCCCAGTGTCCTGCACACAGCGCAGTGGGCAGCAGGGCTCACCTTCATGGTGGGGTCCTTCTCCACCAGCGGGCGACAGTACACAGGCACCGGCACATTCTTCATGCGCGTGTCCTCCTGGCCCCCGTTGGGGCTCAGCTGCAACAACGGGGAGCATGGGCTCTGGGCGTCAGCAGCGACCACGCGTGCGCAAGCTCCGGCGACTCCCTTTCTACTTGATTACTTGGCCAAACTCGCTGCCTCACTGCTCACACCGGGAGTGCAGACCCCGCCCCCGCCCCGCCCCACCCTCACCTGCTTGTACTTGGCGGGCAGGCTCCAGCCACACGCCTGCAGGCGCCCGTCGTCGTTGCGCACATGCTCACGCACCTGGCGGTACTGCTCGCGCTTCTGCTCGCGGCGTGCAGATGACGTGCAGTCGCTGCAGGAAGACCACGGGGTCTCAGGTGCGTGCACGTGGTCTGCAGATTCAACTTGGCCCGCTACACCCAGGCACAGGACGGGCACTGGGCCTAAGGCCTGTCTGCAGGGACCCCATGGCTTGGCTTCAGCACCCTGGAATACCCCACGTGCTCCACAGAAGGGCACTCCGGAAGAAGGAAGGTCCTGGACGGTGAGGGGTGGTCAGTGCTCACTCATCAGAGAAGAACTCTAGCGGGCGGCTGCCGGCCGAGATCTGACACGCTGAGTGGCCGCGGCGCTGGCTGAAGCCTGCAGTGGTGGGAGACTTGTAGTGGATGTTCACCGAAGGGTAGGTGCGCTTGGCCGGCGGGGGGCTGGATGACGAGCTGAAGAGGCGGCTGAAGCTAGTGGGTGGGAAGGGGGCTGGGTGAGGGCAGGCCGGTGTGCAGTCCACACCCCAGCCTGCCTGGGCCCACCTGCCCCCCACTCACAACTGCCAGATGGTGGACTTCTTCTTCTCCTGGACAGATGGGTGTTCTCGGGAAGCTCTGCAGAGTGGGACACAAGGATTGTCTATGGCTGAGCATGTTCCCCCTGCCAAACCCAGTTCCCACAGACAGGCTGGGCTCTGGTCCACCCAATGGCTCTCATCCTGCAGGGCCAGGACCCACCTGATCATCTCAGTCCACCTCACAGCCTCCTGGAGCTCCATCAGCCGCTCCTTGTACTGATTCCTCTCCATCAGCACTCGAGCCATTTCCACTCGAGTGAACCGGCGCCGCTGGGCCATAGGGATGTTGTCCTGGGAGGGAGAGGTGGTCAGCGGGCTGCT